CAGATGCTTAGTTCAAAACAGTAGCATCGTTTAATTTTTATTTAAGACCTCCTACATAGGAGAAGACTTCATTTCAGATACTGAGAGCACCATTCCAGCAATGTCAACGTCCTGCCCTTCTTAAGATGCTAACAGATTGGACCCAAATTATTTATTGTTTTTCTTTCTTTGATTTTAGGGATTCTATCATTTTCTGAGCTCACTGAATACTTAGCCCATAATGCTGGTATACATACACCTTTACACTCCTGTGCCTAAGTGGAATCTTGTAGAGGTTATTACTATTGGTGCCAACCTAAAAAATAATGGAGAGTATTGCTTTCCTCAGAAGGCAGCTTATGTCTTAGACCACCCAACAATCTTCCACTCTACAGGACCTTCTCCTACTCCCTTCCTCCAACTTGCTACCACTACCTTCTGCCCTACATCTCCAGTCATGACCCACCACAACTATTCCTTTTACTTGGTTCCAAACAAATACTATTAACTTTTACATATATTTTACTAAACCATCATGCCCTCCACCAACATAATCACTGAACTTATCACCTTGATCTAATTAAATACACTATCATATTATTGTCATAAAATATATATAATTTATACTTAAAGCATACTTTACAGCTCCACCAAAATTATTGTTAGAGAGCCTGAAAACTTCAATCTATTTTCTTGGCTATTGCCATATAAAAGAGGGACTTGGTTATGGCTGGCCTACAAAAACATCTTATACTTTTACGTGTTTTACTCTGTTTTAGTCTCCTAATAAAATGTTTTCTATGCTGTGTAGGGAGACTTATGCTCTACTCTCTGAAAATCTCTACTATTCAGATCACTCAAATCCCCCAAATAATTGAACTCAAAATGAATGTCAAGACATTAAGATATCAATTTTAATCCTTTTTTTTTTTTGCATTAATTCTGTCTTGGCCCAATTTTGAGGCCCTGGAGAGAGGTTTATCAGTTTCCCTTCTTGGATAGCTGATTAACTCCACACTATTATATGTTTACACTATGGATCACTTCGTATGGTCCTAATCATGTAGAGGCCAGGTACCAGACAACTAGGGACAGGCCCTATACCCTGGAGCCCGAGAAATTATTCAAAGTAGCCAATCCTCAAGGAGTCAGCAAAACCTAGTTAGCCTAGTTAGCCCCACCCCACTTGCCATAAGTACAGTTACTCCTATTTGTTACCCACATGCAACACTGTCTATGGTTCTGCCTGGTAGCCTTCTCTAGATTGGAGCTGTAAGTAACAAAATGTTCTCCCTTTCATCTTTCCAAGTGACAGTGTGTTATTTCCTATCAACAAAAAATCATTAAATCATATATAAACACCCCTAGATTATACCATATGTAGAAATTAACTCAACATGGATCAAATACCTAAATGTAAAAGCTAAAACACGGAAACTCTTAGAGGAAAACAAGCGGGTAAGTCTTTATGGCTTTGGGTTTGGCAAAGGATTTTTAGATGTGACTCCAATAACATGAAAAATAAGACAACAATAGATAAACTGGACTTAACCAAAATTGAAAACTTTTGTGCACCAAAGGACATTATCAAGAAAGTAAAAAGACGGCCTATAGAATAGGAGGTAATATTGCAAATTATATGAGAGATACACAAAACAACTGAGAATTAGTTTTTGGAGAGCAGGCCCCTTGTAGTAGAGGCTTACCCCACTAGGACTAAGTAAGTGTTCTAAGAACCCATTGGCGTAAGTGTACCAGCAAGTGTTATTGTGAGAGACTACATTTGGCTTCAGTGTTTTTTGTTTTTTGGTTTTTTTAAAATTCTTTCAATGTGTTTGCCCATTTCATGGTGGGTGATTTACGAGCGCACTTGCCCATACTTCACTGAGTGTTCAGCAGTTTTTGACCAAAAACGGTATGGCCCTCGTGCCTTACCCTCCCTATTCACCCTATCTCACACAGAGCAACTTTTTTCTTTGTTTCCCAGATGAAAAAATTCTCAAGGGGAAACATTTGCCAGTGTGGAAGAGGTGAAACAAAAAATGGTAGAAGCACTAAAAGGCATCAAAATTGATGAGTTCAAAAACTGTTTTGAGTAGTCAAAAAGGTGACTGAATAGGTGTATTGCATCAAATGGAGAGTACTTTGGAGGGAACTGAAATTTAAACATGTAAGAATAAATACAAAACTTTTAATACATAAATTTCAGATTTTTTGAGTCCCTTGTGTATATCTGATAAGGGATTAATATCCAGAATATATAAAGAACTGCTATAATGCAACAACAAAATGACAAACATCCAATTTAAAAACAGATAAAAGACTTGAATAGATATTTCTCTAAAGAAGATATACAAAAATCTAACAGGTACATGAAAAGATACTTAATATAATTGGTCATTAGAAAGATGCAAATAAAAACCACATTACTAGGATGATAAATATAAAAAATGGAAATAAACAATTGTTTGCAAGGATATGGGGAAACCAGAACCCTTATACATAGCTGCAAAATGTTGCAGCTGCTGTGGAAAACAGTTTGGCAGTTCCTCAGAAATTTAAATATAGAATTACCATATGACCCGACAATTACATTCTTAGCTATGTACCCAAGATACCTAAAAAAGTACATCCACACAAAAACGTATACATGATTGTTTGTGGCAGCATATTTACAACAGCCAAAAAGTTAAAACAACCCAAACGGATCCATATGAATGGATAAGCAGAATGCGGTATGCACATACACCAAAATATTATTCATCCATAAAAAGGAATGAAGTATTGTAAATGCTACAATATGGATGAACCTTGAAAACATTACACTAAGTGAAAGAAGTCAAACACAAAAGATCACATATTGGATAATTCCATTTATAGGAAATATCCAGAATAGGTAAATGCATAGAGACAGAAAGCAGATAAATTGTTGCTAAGGCCTAGGTGGAAGGTGGAATTGAGAATGATACTTTAATGAGTATGAGGTCTCTTTTCAGGTTGATGAAACTGTTTTGGAACTAAATAGAAGTGATGTCTGCATAACATTTTGAATACACTATATCATTGAATTTTATACTTTAAAGTGGTTAATTCTATGTCATATAATTTTGTCCTTCAAAAAGTGTGTGAATATAGATAGCTCTATTTGGGAAAAAAATGTATAGAAATGTATATTTTTAGGCCAATTATCTTGATTTTTTAAATATTACATACTCCTTTGGACATCTAATGAAAGCAATGGACCCTATTCTCAACGAATTTACAATCCAATAAAAATGTATATATCCTTTCCCTCCCCCAGCACACACACACACACACACACACACACACACACACACACACACACACAATTTTGGACATAATTTTAGAGGATCTATAGGTCAATAATGCCTGAATTAAAGGAAGAGGTAAGTTCCCTTTAACACGGCTCGGCTGCTATTTGTTTCTTCCTTTTCCCATTTCATTCTTAAATTATTTCTCCTTTCTGTCTTTTCTATACCTTATACCTACTGCTTTTTCATGATGTCAATCCACTTATATGTCAGCATTTCTTAGGTTCCTAGGGCACAGATCTTCTTCCCACAAAAGCGTACATACTACACTACCTCCTAAATATATGCAACCTTGCCTTGTCACTTCAGGTGGTCCAAAGACTCTGTCAGTTGGGAATATCTGGTCTAGGTTAAAATGGTTAGCATGTCAGAATTTCTTAGACAGCGGCCTAAATCTGCTGAGAGCCACAGGTGGGTTTGGACTGGCGGGTAGCAACTCTGCAGCACAGTTAGGCTTCTCCTGGGTTCCTTGGAGATGCAGAGTTTGGGGATGTGGGGCCTGCCAGACTGTATCCCTCAAGCTAGGTGGGAGGCAGCAGACAGGATCTAGGGAGGCTTCTACCTGTGCACCATAAATAAGGGCAGAGAGTGAACAGGTCTGGGAGCCCCTCCCTCAGCAATCACTTCTCCACGCCTCATGGACACCCTCAGCTGCAGTTCTGATTTTTAGTGGCAGTAATAGTGTCTCCTCTCTTCTGGGGCTGGGTTATCCCTATGGGCATTTACTCAGGCCTCCACCTTGATCACCTGTCTAGGTGTATTTTTAGAGTGAGCAACAAGTGCCTGGCACTTCTTGATTGGGCAGGGAAGATAGGACCATCTCTGCATCTTTCACACTCTTAGCTGCCTCAGTCTCGCAGCTCTTCCTTTTGCCTAGAGCTAAAACTCTGAATGAAAATAACTATGGGCCAAATTTTCAAAACTGATATTTTTGAATTTCCTGACAGTTATCAGATTCCAACAAGTCTACTCAGCACTCAACAATTGTTTGGAGACATTAAATGTGTGTGTGCTTTTTAAATAGAGTGTGAGAGAACCAACTATCTATGAAAAATTTTTAAATATATATTTTGTATGTAGTCGACTAAATTAATTTTCTATATGGCAAAAGTTAATGTTATGAACTTAATTTGGTCTCTATCTCAAACATTTTCTCCTAAATGAAATAGCTTTATTTAATTTTGTGCTTATAAGAATAACCCAAACTGAGAAAAGTAAATATTTAAAAGAAAATAAAACCTCTACTTTAGCTACTTGTTTCCCTACTTGACAATCTACCCTACATATGAAGATCTGGACCACAGGCAGAATGAACATCAGTGGCTGAGTGGAGTAGGTTGAATAGGTGCCTTGGAATAAAAGGAAATAGAAAACAATTCCTCAGTGATGTACCAATGGCCAGTAGTCCTAGGAGAAGGTGCAGCTCCTCCCTGAGAACCACAGAATAAATGCGTACCATAGCGAGAAAGGGTCACATTTGATCGCTGGATTAGCTAAGACCAAAATGAGTGGCAGGGCCCCATGCGAGGTGGGAGGGGGTAGGAGGACTGGGGAGGCGGGAGGATAACTAGCTAAGGAAGAAGTGGGCTGGCTCCTGACGCACTTTCTGCCAGTGGGAGGAGAACTAGGGACCCGAGCCCACTGGTGACGTTTTTCTCACGTGATCAGGAGCCGACGTGTGCAGAAGTCCCTTTCCTCCAGGTACCAGCTCCCCTTTTCCGTGGAGGAAGGCTGACTTCAGACTGAAGGACAGAAGGGGCAACTGCCCTATAACCCTGCAGGTTGGTACAAGCCGCGGGCCCCTGAGGTGGGGATGGTAACTGACCCAGGCTACAGAGAATGGGTCTGCTTTCCGGATACCACCCCCTTCCACCCCCATTCATTTTGGCGCAGAAAAATTGTGCGCGTTGGGAAAGAGGTCTGGGTACCAACTCTTATTTCTCTGGATAAGTGTGGACTTCTGACAGAAAGAAATTTGAAAAATAATTCATTCTCCAGGATGGCTACGAATTCATCGCTGCCTGTGGGCTTCTGCGGTCCGAGTGGCAGAGGGCAAAGACCAGAGCAGGTTCAGGACTGGATTCTCTCTAGTCCCATCCGTTTTATGCAAGAATGGAGTGCTGGCGGAATGGGGAAGGGAGTCTGGACGAGGATCAAGAGTTAGAATGGGTACCAGTTGGGATTTCCTATGAAGGAGGCGATCGTGGATATCTGATGGAGGAGTAGAGGCGGGGGAGGGAACAGCGCTGAAACGGCGAAGATCAGCCTGCTACTAGAAGAGCAGTGGGAGGCGAGCACAGCCTGTGACCCAGGGATGCGGAGGGCGGACCCTGCAACGGGTCCAGGCCTGAGTTCCCGGTGTCTCTTCACCTTCCGTCCATTTTGGAGCCGGAAATGGTGGGCCGATGGGGGAAGCGGGAGGAGGTGCTGCTGAAGAGGCAGACAGAGGTTTGGTCCGGAGACCAGCTCCCTGTGGAAAAGTAGCTTCTGAACTGAAAGGGTTGAAAGGAGGTAGCAGGGACCAAATATTTTACTGGAAATAATTTGTATGTCGCCTGACAGGAAAATATGGGCTTTCTGTGTATGTGGGGAGGGAGGGGGTGGCAGGAGTGCTTCGGATACTTCTGCCCTGCCCCCTGTTTCTGTCATCACCATTTTCAGAGAAGTGGTGGGCTTTGTGTTATCTGGCTGCCCTGACGTGAAGGATTTGGAGTGTAGAGACCTGAGTGCAGCAGGGTTTGCCTTCTAATCATCCCTATCCAGAACCTCACTCATTTTAGTGCCAGAGAAAGTGAGATAGAAATTTGAGAGGGGAATTCAGAAACATAGAAACACTTTGGAAACCAGCTTTCTTGCCCATTGCACAGCAATAGCAAAATGGAGGCTCTTAAGGAGGAGTTGTCGAGGGCGAATCAGAGAAGGCAGGGGAAATGGCAAGGGGGTGATAGAAGTTGGGAGAGTTTTGACAAATAGAGTCTGAAAAGAACCTAGTTGCCAATCATTCTCTTTCTCAATCCCTCATTCGCCATCTCTTTCCTTTCTCTCTACAGGTCTTCTGGTCTGTGGTTGTGGGCACCAACTCAGACAAGAAAAGAAAAGACCTGCAGTATCAGTGCAGGTCAGTGGAAGAGAGCAATTGCCCTAGTACCCTTGGGAGTAGGAGTGACTTAAGCCAGAGCAGAAGTTGGGGAAGCCACTGCCTGCCATCCCTCCTCCAATCCTCCCTCTAGTAGTTTCAGGATAGATGACTGCTGTCAAGACCCTAAAGGAATATGGTGCTCTATGACTGATGAGGATAAGAGGGGAGAATAAGGAAATGAGATAATGCAGGTGTGGCCCGTGTGGTGACCCTTGAGGATATAAGAGTAGCCCTGAAATCTGATAATTGACCATTGTTCTGTTTTGTCTGCAGTTTTATGTCTTTAAACTGCAGATAAGGTACAAAGAAGAAAACTACCCAGGATTCCAGGCCAGTGTAAGTTGGGACTACCCAGTTAAAACTGGCGTGGACACAGCCAAGGCCAGAGCAAAGTTTAGGGACCAATCTACTTCTACACATTTTTCAGCACACCTCCTTTAAGTGTAGGGAGAAGGACTTGTGGAAGTTTTTGTAAGATTGACATGTGTGAAGTGGGAAGGAAAGGAAAGACCATAGGGGTGATAGAAGGTGGGATAGGGCCAGGAAAACCTGTTAAGTCCAGAAACGCAAGTGCTATCAGGACCTGCTTTCAACCTCCTAATCCCTCAGTGTCCTCTGTCTCTTCTTAATCTTTTTGGACAGGCAAAGGAGGAAAAATCTCAACATGGACAAGCTCTACAAAGAAAATGAAGGAAAGCCAGAAACTGAAGGAAACCTAGAAAATGAGGGAAAGCCAGAAGATGAGGGAAGTACAGAAGATGAAGGAAATGGAGAAGAAGAAAACCCGGATGTGGAGGGGAAGCCAGAAGAGGAGGGAAAGCTGGAGGAGGAGGGAGATCCAGATGATGAGGGACAACCAGAGGCTGAGGGCAAGAAGGGCAAGCAGGGAAAGTCAGCAGCTGAGGGCAGGCCCCGAGGTGAGGGCCAGTCAGCACCCCAGGTAAAGTCAGAGAGCGAGCCGCGGGCCGCTGAAAAGCGCCCGGCTGAAGATTATGTGCCCCGGAAAGCAAAAAGAAAAACAGACAGGGGGACGACAGACGACTCCCCCAAGGACTCTCAGGAGGACTTACAGGAAAGGCATTTGAGCAGTGAGGAGATGATGAGAGAATGTGGAGATGTGTCGAGGGCCCAGGAGGAGCTAAGGAAAAAGCAGAAAATGGGTGGTTTTCATTGGATGCAAAGAGATGTCCAGGATGCATTCTCCCCGAGGGGCCAGCGGGGTGTCAGGGGAGTGAGGGGCGGAGGTAGGGGCCAGAAGGACTTAGAAGATGTTCCATATGTTTAATGTCTTTGGCCTTTAATTCTGACTTCTCTGATGAAAATATCGTCAGCCCTGCTTTCCCTGGCAGGCATTTGCCGGGCTATGTGCTTTAACCTTAAACTGATACTTTCCTTTAGGTGTGTCACTCTTGTTACCAGCAGATCTTGATCCACCTACAGCTCTCTGTCTTTTAGTAGAGGATTTTCACCCATGTGCATGGAAGAGATGTTCATGGTACATTGTGAAATAACAATAAAAAATTTCAGAACCAAACATACGGTATCAGACCATTTTTGGGGAAAAAATATGACTACACAATACATCCATGCACAGAGAAAATTATGCAACTGAGCAGACCAAAGAAATATAATGGTTTTTCTCTGTGTGGTGGGAGTGGAGATTATTCTTTTTCCCATCTGTACTTTTTTCCCTAAAAAATACAGGTTCCTTTTGTCATAAAGGTAATAATAAAAGATAAAACAATACATGCTAGGCAATAAAAGCAATTATTCATTCAGCTTATGAAGGCAGTGGAGACACTTAAAATTCTTGTTTTTAAAACAGAATTCATCTTACCTCTGGGACTAGAAGTAGGAGGAATCAACTTGGCAGTTACTACAGATTCATTGCTGTAAGAGATACCCTTGTCATCTGTGAAATGGGGATAAAACTTACCTCCCAGAACTGTGGAGCAGATCAGATGTGACACTGAGGGTGTGGACTGTGCTGGGCTGACTCCTGCACTCTCCCCTGCGCTAGCAGTACTGGGTCAGACAATTGGAGGGGGACTAAGGGAATTATAACCTGTGCCCAAGACTAGGTATAGGAAGCTAACAGGTGGGCGCTATTTCCCTCTGGTATTGCCATATTTGCTACACATTGTGCCCTCTGTCCAGGGTCCTACACCCTCCTAAGCAGCCACCCCCACTGCTACTGGTGGGCTGGAGTTCTCAAGGTAACAAAGCTCTTTTGATTTCCCAGAAGTCCCTGGTGAGTTGAACCCCCACTATGTTCGCTTTTGAACGATGGAGATTGTCCCTCTTCTCACTTTATAGTTATGTTAATTCTGACATAAAATGTGGGAAAATGCTTTGTAAAATCTTAACTAATATATTTGTCAGGCATTATCATTACCCTCACCAGTCTTACCCTTTTCAAAGCAAAGCATTTATCTTACTCATTTTGGTACTGCACAGTACATAATAGAAACTTTAAAAATAACTACATTAATTATTGAATCAGAAGGGCTTGGTTCTTGGCCCAGTGCTGTCCCTGATTAAATATATAGTTTTAAACCCATAATTTCATTCTTCTGAAGCTGAAACTTGCCACTTCAGAAAGAATACAGCAGGAGATGGATTATATCACAATTCATTGCTAAATGATTTTAACATTGAATATAGTACTGTTTTTCAAATTTTGCTGCCTACTAGCAAATCCCCGCATCAACATCACCTAGCTATGTTGTTGAAAATGCAGAATCCTGGCTCCCAGACCCAATGCATCAAAATATCTTATGATTTGTCTCCAAAATGTGTGATTGTGTGTATCTGTATGTGTCTTTTGCTTTTAGCTCATTTTGATTTTTATCAAAGGGATACATGCACAAAAATTTTAAATCCTATAGTGAAAAAGAGTTTATTGTTAAACTGCAGTCTGCCTTGCTATTCTACATTCCCACTCCCCAGAAGCAGCTACTGTAAATTTTTTTTTTCTGGTATTTATCTTCATTTTTCTGAATAATTTATATAGCTGCTATTTTTTTAACAACATTAATGAGGTATACTATAAAATTCACCTTTTAAAAGTATACAATTAAATGGTTTTTTAGTGTATTGACAGAGTTCTGAAATCATTACCATTATCGGATTCCAGGATATTTTCATCACCTTAAAAAGAAACCCCACATCCATAGAACATAATGGTGTGTGTTTTACCTTGTGCCCCTAGCACCTGGCAAACACTGATCTCCTTTTTGTCTCTATATATTTCGTGATTTTGGACAAATAAAAAGAGTCATATAATATGTGGCCTGTTAAGTCTGACTTCTTTCACTTGTCTTAACGTTTTCAAGTTTCATCCGTGATCTAACATATGTCATTACTATCATTACTAACCATTTATGTACAAACTTTTGTATAAATATGTTTTTAATTCTCTTGGGTATATACCTAGGAGTGGAATTGCTAACTCATATGATAGCTCTATGTTTGATTTTTTTGAAGAACTGCCAAACTATTTTTCAAAGCAACTGTGGCATTTGACAATTCCATCAACAGTGTAGGAGGTTTCCAATTTCTCTACATTCTTACCAACACTTGTTATTGCCTGTGTTTTTATTAAAGCTATCTTAGTGGATATGAAGTGACATATTATTGTGGGTTTGATTTGCATTTTCTTCACAGTTAATAATGTTCATAATTTTCTCATGTGCTTATTGGCCATTTGTATGTATCTTCTTTGGAGCAATGTGTATTAAAATATTTGCTTACTTTTAAATTAGATTGTCTTATTGTTGAGTTGTAAGACTGCTTTGTTTATTCTGGACAAAAGTCCCTTATCAAATATCTGACCTGCAACTGTTATTTCTTGACTTGTTTATTTTAGCTATTATCTATTGACTTTCTGATATAGTAATGGAATAATTATCTCTTACAATCATAATTCTTACTATCTATTGCCTACATCCTTCAATATAGCTTTTCCACATACAATGTATACTTTAACAAGCATTCCAGTGACCTGTTTCTTAACTCAGAGAATCATTTATGCATCTGTCAATTTAGGCTGAGTTTACGCTAGGATAGCTAACAACCCTCAAACCTCAGTGGTTTAGCACAACAGAGGTTTACATATGAAACTTCATGAAGGTTGGGGATGGGGAAACTTTGCTCCCCATGGGGTATCTCAGGAATTCAGACAATCTACGATGCCACTGTATCAAAGGAAAAAAGTGTATGGAGATCTTACATGTATTTTTCTACAGCATGGTCTAGGAGTCACACATTGTAAATCACCACTGTTCACAGCCCACTTCTTCATATTTCTATCCTCCTTAATTCTGGCAAGCAATTATGAGATAGGTGTTATTTATGCCCTCTATATAGGTGACTGAACTGAGGTTCAAAGAGAAATAATGATTTATTCAAAGTCACATACCAGTATGGGGAAGCTCCCAGATCAAAACCTAGGTTTATTTGCCCTTAATGCAATAATCCTTAACCTGTTTGCTTTCTTTTCTTTTCTTTTCTTCTTTCTTTTTAGTTAGAGTCTCACTCTGTTGCCCAGAATGGAGTACAGTGGCATGCTCACAGCCACCACAGCCTGGACCTGCTAGGCTCAGGCGATCCTTTCCCTCAGATTTCCAAGTAGCTGGAACTACAGGCACGTGCTACCATGACTGGCTTATTTTTTTATTTAGTGTAGAGACGAGGTCTCGCCAAGTTGTCCAGGTTGGTCTCAAACCCCTGAGCTTAGGCAATCCTCTCACCTCGGCCTCCCAAATTGCTGGGATTACAGGCTTGGGCCACCACATCTGACCTGTTTGCTTTCTTAAACACAAAGATTTAAAATTTATTTTTATTGTCCAATCAGTCTTTTCAGATGTCAGAAAAGTGATTATGTTTCCTCAGATGACAAACCTAACAAGGTTCGCAATGGCATTGCTTCTTCCATCATCAGTGCTTTTAAAAAGGCATTTTATACCAGTTCACAGCTTGACTACACTTGTCTTAAAGTCATGAGCTGCTTCTGCCATGAATGTGGGTGTTCAGGCAGGTGATGGCATACTTTCTCACTTGAATTTAGGACCACAAGGCAAGGTCTCCTTGCCTGGATCTTTTAAACTTTTGGCCATGGGCTGACTTGAACATCAGAAGCATTGTGCCAGGCAGACACAGGACTGAAATCACCAAAAGCAAAAACAAAAACAAAAAACACCAACACAAGCCCAGGCACAATCAAGGCCCTGCTGGGAGTCTAAGCAAAGTGAGTTGGGGTTATTTTCCCAATCACATTATCATCCCAGTGTTCTGGTAGCTGTTTCACTGGACTCTGAGAGAAGGGTTCAACTCTCCGACCTTAACCCCAAATTATCTGGTTAAACTCAGATTGAAACTGGCTCTGACAAGGACAAATGCTTTAATTTTCATGCTATGGAGTTTTATTTCCATCACAACAAAAGTCTTCTACATCCCTGAAAAGGAAATGCAAAGCTTTATGAAAGTTCTTGTCATTGGAGACTATTGAAACTATCACTTGTTCATTTGAGCCAAAAGGCAATTGCCTATGTTGCTGAGAATAACCACATAACAGGAAATATCTACTTTATTTCTCCCTTACTCTTCTCCCAAACCTAAGAAATACTTTTAGGATAAGAAGAGAAATGTTCCTGATAATAAGCTCCAACTCTCAGTGCACTATAAGCCACTACAGCAAGAGTCTATACTGCTTTTGGGAACCAAAGGGAATTTTAAATTGAATGCAATATTTAAGTTGTAAAATGAACAAGATAATTTTTAGTTTCAGCTCCTAATGAAGAGCTGAAAGAAATGCCACTTCCACATTTGCAACAGGGAATAAAGTTGGATACACTGCAATATAAAATTTTTTAAAAAACCGTCAAAGAAGTCAGGTCACAGGGCAGACAATTATTCCAAAAGCTAGAGAGAAACACTTGGAGAGACAAATAGAACTCAAGCATTTGCTTACCTCAGATAGATATCACCAAATGTCATGTAGACCAGTAAGAAAATTGAGCTAGGAATTGTTAATGGATTTCTAAAGACTGAGCTAGGGCTCACACAAGAGAGTATGAAGTCTTTGAGAGTCACAGATATGAAGGGGTTTGCATCATCTTTCAGTCTTTACTCCAGAAACACTACAGGTATTCCCAGGGAAGATCAGTGGGAATCTGAAAAAGCTTGCCTTACAGTGACAGTTAAGAGAAAGAAATAGCGGTCATTGCTGACATTTCAACTAGACCCAACTCCCTTAAACAGAAGTCTTGATCTGCAGGAAGAAGGACAACAAAACCCTAAAGTTACTGCTGGAAATAAACTGCAGCTGCACACGTATGTTTGTTGCAGCTCTATTCACAGTAACAAAAACATGGAACCAACCATGTTACCCATCGAAGCTGGACTGGATAGAAAAAATGTGGCACATATACACAATGGAATATTATGCTGTCATAAAGAAGAACAAATATATCGACTTTGCAACAACTTGGATGGATTTGGAGTCAATCATACTCAGTGATTTATCACAGAAA